ATGAGTTTTGAAGCCGCTCAGAAGTCCCGCATCTCAGGGGTTTTAATCCAGAAGTTTCTATCTACCCCAAAATAAATCAAAATTTTAGTTAAGGCATAATAATCACAATTGTGGGGATATAATCAAAATGTTGTCAGATGATTGTACTTTTTTTTTAAAAACTATGCTATATAACACCTGAATATATTCTTTGGAGCAAGATGTTTTGAGAGGAAATGTCAGTATTTCTAGTTTCTACTTGTAGATGTCACAGGATTCGTGTTGGCTGGGCTTTTATTGCTCTCTGGGGACCAATTCTTGGCACAGGAGAGCCTGTCATTTCTGGATGCTGGATATCTCAGGGAGACGGGGCATGGGGACTAAATTACCTGCTTAGTGGGCAGGGGTGAGGGGCAGGTGGCAAGACTCCAGCTTGGAAAGGATACTGGAGAAAGAGTATGGAGAGTGTTCAGTCAAGGCCATGCTGGAGCGGGAATGAGGAAAGGTCTCTGGATAGATGGGCCTGGGGCGGGGGGATTGGACAAGAGGTGTCCAGGGTGTGTTGGGGTGATGCTTGCATCATGTGGGATGTGACCCCTCATGAAGCCACCACAAACCTTCAAGATACCTTTAAGGATAGTGGACTGATTGGCTTTCTTATGGAAGGGCTTATGTCAAGGTGGCCTGCAAGCAGAAAGATTTAGAGCAACATAGAAAGAGCAGGTTCCTCAGTAACAAACACTAAAAAATAAAAATGAAAAAAATAAAAATGAGAATTTGTCTGATGCTTTTCCATTTGGCTGTGCTTGGAGTTGGGAGGATGGAGGGTACATTTCTCCAGAAACAGCAGCCTGCTCATCTGGAACAGTGACTGGAATTCAATACCTACATGCAGATTTATTAATGAAATTACATGAACACAATCCTCAATAGAATTTGAGATCTTAAAAGAACTGAAAGTCAAAATTATCAATGATCTTTCAGACAATCAAGACTTTAATTTTTTTTTTTTTGGTAAAGGGTTACATATTTGAAAAAGTCTGTTGAACTGTCATCATCAGATTTCAAAGGAAAAATAAATTTTTCTACCTGTGCTGTCTCTGTTACACTCCATTATCAAATATTTTAGTGCTATTCAGATGCTTCTTTTCTTAACTCAGTTAAGTAATAAACCCACTATAATATTTACATAAGACTTAACACCAGTGGGAGAGTATTATCTTCAAGACCCTCAACCCTTAATGTCAGTAATCTTCCACTGTAAGGCTGTACACACTGGTCATACTTGAATGAAGTGTCTCTGTAATTTGAAAGAAAGGAAAAGTACTTGGCAAGAGATGTCTGACTCAGTGATATCTGTTCATTCACATATTGGTGACTGATTTGCATGCCAGTTAAGAATGTCACAAATGTATCTCTGATTTACATCAGCAAGAGGGAGAAGTTAGGTGGTGATAGAACATACATGTGAGAGTGCTTTCTAAAGTACCAACATATGACAGAAACTCCCAAGAGTTCCAGAATACTATGGGACAACAGCAAATGATGTGCTTATAAAAACAAAATTACAAAGAGTGGGGCAGACAGATACACCCATACCTTAACATTTATTTTCTTTGATATGAAGATGTGATGAAATAGTTGAAAAGATTTGATTCATGTTTTGATACAGTTTGTGTTACTCAGATCTGTTTTATTGATACTATGTTCATTTTCATGTTCCTAGGAGCTATTTTGTTAATAATTTCTCATTTATACTGCAGTAGGATCAGAGATCTGCTCTATGTGAAATCAGTTATTTCTTAAATATATTGAGATTTCTTGGGTGGAAATTATTGAAGTTGCTGTGTTTTTCTCAAACTAGATATATACATACTAGTTTCATTTTCCCTATTTGGGAATCAGTCTATTTCTTCAGTTCCTATGACTTGTATTCCAATATAGAAAATTTTCTTTGTTTTTCATATCAATGACTTCTCTCTCATTTTCCATTCTCTTCCCCACATCTCCCTGGACATGTCAGATGTGGGGGCTCCTTGTTCTGTCTCCCAATCTCTGACCCACTCATCTCTTCTCTCTCTTTCTCTCTGCACTTCATTTTAGGTCTCTTCCTCATAGGCGTCTTTCAGTTTGCTAATTTTCTTTCTGAATGTGTCTAATAAAGCATGTCACGTACATGATAAGATTTTCATGACTATAATTTTCATTTTTAGATATTGTTTCTTTTCAAACTTGTGAATTCTTTATTTTCTTGGTATCCTATTGTTTTATTATGTTTTCAATTCATTTTAAAAAATCTGTGCTCTTTTTATTTACTTTGGAGAGTCACTGATTTTGTTCTGCCCTCTGTAGTTTCTCTGGTGCTAACTTTTCTTGATTCTTATTTCTGATGGTTCTCCTCCAGGGTAGCATCCTTTGTATACTTTACAACATTTTATTGTTGTTTTGAATTCATTGGTCCAAGGGCTCAGTTGCTTATTTTTTTAGAGAGAGGATTCTGTATGGACTGAAATGTGTCCTCACCACCACCTTACTTCATATGTCAAAGCCCTAACCCCCAATGTGACGATATTTGGACATAGAGGTGATTAATGTTAAATGAGCTCATAGGGTGGGGTGATAATCCAATATGACTATCATCCTTCTAAGAAGTGAAAGGGACACCGTGTCTGTCCACACAGAGTAAAGGCCGTGTGAGGATGCAGCAAGAGGTAGCGTCTCCAGGCCAAGAAGAAAGGCCTCAAAGAAACCAAACTGCCAACGCTTGAGCTTGGACTTCCAGCTCAAGAACTGTGTGAAAATAGATTCCATGGCTTAAGCCCCCTAATCTGTGGAACCCTACTCTGTGATTTGTCTTAGTCATCCAAGCTGACTGATACAGCTTCTGACCCCAAGGAATGTGTCTGCTTTTCCTCTGAACTCATTCCTAGGGGTTTCAAGTTCTGGTCCTATTTTTATGTTAATTGATTTGCTTAGAAAAATCCTTTCCAAGCAGATGAACTTAGGGTTAGTTTGGTAAGCAAACAGCACAAATTCGGATCTCTCCATATGTGGCCCAGGTGGGTTTCTCTCAGACAAAGTCTCCCACCGCCTGCCCCCCCCCCACCATCCATGCCCACTCTTGGGCTCAGTAACTGCCTGCAAACATGCTTGTCCCTTTCACAGGCCAGTGAGTGGAGTTTTGCTAGCTGTTCTGAGGCCTTCAATAGGTGACTGGCCTCAGTTTCCCTGCTCAGTGAGTCAAAGGTCTCCTCTCCCTGGCTCTGTCTGCCTCTTCCTCTGCCTGCCCTTATCCCAAGGGTGTTTATTCAGGACTGAAACTCCCGTATGTCCCTACAACATCAACTCGTATTTGTTACTTTGGTTTTGGCATCTTGCTTTGTTTCTGACATCTAGGGAGCCTCCTGATCCATTTTATCCATCACTCAGTGAATTTGTAGTAGGAAGGGAAGGGAAACTTTCCATGTCACATTTGTCTACCATGTTTGCTTTCTATACTAGAAGGTATAGATATTTTCTTTAGAATGCACTGTAAGTAAATTTGTCTTTGTAGAGTAGGATTCTGTGAGTTAGTAGTCAGTAAATTTATCACAACTATTTTTTGAAAGATTATATTGTAGGTAGGAGAGTAAATTAATTTTAGACTATGTAACCTTCAGTAATGTGATGAAACTACCATCAGGGACCTTATTTCCAGAAATTGATATCAGTGTGATACAAATATAGACTTGTGGTTTTATAGAAAACAGATGTTCTCTCTCTCTCTCTCTCTCTCTAAGCAATAGTAAAGTCATCATCTTCATGTTTGTATTATAATTACAAAATCACTGATATCTTCATTGGCCTTTAATGCAATGCCCTGCTACGGACTGGTTATGTCCCTGCCCCAGTGTGATACTATATGGAGATGGGGACTTTGGGGGGTAATTAGGGTTAGATGAGGCCGTGAGGGTAGGGTCCTCATGAGAGGATTAGTAGCTTTATGAGAAAAGAGAGAGACTGCTGTTTTGCAGCATTTGAAGACACAGGGAGAAGGTTCTCACCAAGAACCAGATTAGCCAGTATCTCGATTTGGACTTTCTAGGCTCCAGAACTGCGAGAAGTAAGTGGGTGTTGTTCAACCACCTAGGCTGTGGTACTCTGTTATGGCAGCCTGAGCTGAGTAATACATGTACAAAATGTCCATATAGTGTAAATCACTTTCTGATGATATTTTTAAGTTTATGCTATCCCTATAGTCTTACCAGACACCACGGATGGTAGTTTAAAATCACCCCAAATTCAGAGTATTTAACATGCTGCAAAATTCCGCACCCCTTTTTCCCATTTGAATCACTCTGGATTCAAATGCATTCTTAATTATTCACGGTAATTTGATGTTACCCCATTTATTTAGCTATCAGAGGTTTGATTAAGATTAATGCATTAATTGAAGACACATATGAAAAGATTCGTGCACCCCATTATATTCATAGCAGCATTATTTACAATAGCCAAGACATGGAATCAGTCTAAATGTCCATCAGAGGATGACTGTTCGTGGCATATATACTCATAGACTACTACTCATCTACTCAAAAAGATGGAATCATGTCTCTGCTACCACATGGATGGAACTTGAAGCGATGATGCTAAGTGAAATAAGTCAGAAAGTGAAAGACAGTTGCCAGATGGTTTTGCTCATTTGTGAAATATAAATAACCAAACCAACTAAACTGGTAAACCACAACAAAAATAACTCTGAGTCTCTGTGAAAAATATGGTGGTTACCCGAGGGGAGCAGGGGCAGGGGGTGATGAAGTGGGGGAGGGGGTAATGGAATAGGGTGTTGGCACTGAAGTTTTGGTGGAGGGCATGTGTACATATCGATGTGTGAAGCTATACTCCCCAAATCACAAAATTATGTAAATAAACGGTAAATTAATAAAATTGGATTTAAAATTTTAATAAAATATTAATGCATTGAAGAGCCACAGTACCGACTGTGTGCTAGGCATACTGGAATATCTTATCAGTGTGTAACTACCAGTAAACAGCAGGTCTGGGCACAGACTGGAGGTGTGAGATCTCCCAGTGTTCTCCTACCACTTGGTTTGTAGGATGATGAAGGAGAGGCCTCAAGCAGTGTTTATTGTATAGACAGAATATTTCCATGTTTCCTGCAGCCATCTGATAACTACAACCAAAAGGAAGGGAGGGATTAAAGGAGGCTATGAACGAAACTCAAATAGGAACTAAGAGACATTCTGCTTTTCCACATTGTTCCATGACAGCGTTGACCTTCCCAGTAATTCAAATTGTCCCTAAAAGAGAGCCTGAAGCTTTAAATTGGCTCATTCTCCCATTTCTATTTGTGAAGCAAGTGGTATGGTTGTGTTATCACCATGCCATTCAATTTCCTGAAATGATGACAAAGCAAGTTATACTACATTTGTGCAGATTTCTTTTTTTAAATATTCATCTGGAGCCTGCTTTCTCCGAGAGCAGTCCTGAATCAGCGGCATCTCCTGGGGGTTTCTCCCCTGAGGCATCTTGGACCCCACCTGAAAGCTATTAAACTAGAATCAGCAATTTACGGAGATCCCCTGGTGATGCATCTGTATGTTGGTTTGAATTTGAGAATCACTGGCTTAGAGGACTATGCTCTCTCCCTAATGCAGAGTTACCTCTTCCACCCTAAGGCAGAGTTATCTCTTTTGATTCATGAGTGCTACCCAAGGAACAAGATGAAGGTTTTCCCAAAAACCTACCTAACAGGGTATTTTGATAGCCTGTGAACCATTAGGAATCAGAGTAGAGTCTCTTTTTCCATTTTTAAGAAAACTTAACATTCAAGTGGACAAATGAATCAGAAAAAGTGTTTCCATTTTGGTTTGGTATGAATGCAGTGTTGCTCACAATTGCTAAATTAGAAGCAAAGAACTGTTTCCTTGCAGGTTAATGGGTTTCCCCTCATCAAGCTGTCCTTCTTTCATGTAATCTAGACTTGCCTCCACTTATTTATTTTTTGATAACTGTTCTTCTTTTTTAATAGGATTATTCATCCTTCCAATATTAACAGCAATTAGACTCACCTCATGGCACGTCAGGCCAACTCAATCTCCAACTGCCAGCGTAGGATGATCTTAGTCTTGTCTCAGTAACAAACTTTGACAACCAAAACAAAGCAGCAGGCAAAATACACGAAGAGAATTAACAGTAAAGAATCACAGATGACAAGAACTTTGCACACATGATGGCTGCTTCTGCCTGTTCTATCCCCGTGGAAATAAAACGTTCCCTCTGCAAGGGCTGATGACAGTGTGACATAGTCTTAAATTGCATTTTCAGAAAAGTTTTAAAGGAAGGTTCTTTAAAAGCCTTAGAAACATTAACGTCTCTTTCCAAATCGAATCTATTTAATTTTATTGGGAAACATTTACATAGCTCATCAGCAGATTCTCTAGTATTGAGTAATATTTAGCATGCTGTAATCATGGAAAGGAGAGATTTAGATTAAATGCAGCTTTTTATTACTATTCAATCATCATAAGTTGTTCCACTTTTTATCTTTTTAGTCAACAGATTTCAAAGGTGGGAAAATACCTTCATTTGCAGACATACCTGTATTTATCTGCTATTATATTTTCCATTAGTGTCTACCTGAGATTTATTCCTGGTGATTCCCCACAAAGTAAATGTGAATCTCCTAACACCAGATGCTAATAATAAAGACAAATGCACCCTATCTCTTAGAGATGTTAGGAGAATAAATTAGATAATATTTACAGGGGAAGTTGACCTCACGAGAAGTAGTATTCAAATGAAATGTGAATAAAAACCCTTTAAAGAACAAAAAAAAAAACCAAAAAACCATTCAGTTGTAGCCAGATTGACCTGACAGTACCAAATTATGTTCTGAGTAAAGAAAACAGACCTACTAATAGTGGTTCCGCTGGGCGTGGATAAGTGCCAAGTGTTGACAATGAATTCCAGGTCTGGGCTGAAACCTCAAGCATCAGTTTGGATATACACAAAATGAGCTCTTTGTCTTTTTCTATATGTCTACATTTATTATATGGGGGGTACTGGTAAGGTCTCGCATGTGCTGGAACAAATGATCAAAGTTATTTTAAACCTCTTTTGGTTAATAACATAAGATTTGTTAATAAAGCAGTGAAGTAAATAGAAAATTTACAGACATGTATACTAATATACATGAGACAGACCACTATTTTTATATTTATATTATCTACACTAAAAAAGGAGCATCTAGCAGAACAATGGGCAAAGAAGGAATCACAGTTACTACAGATTGAAAAGCAGAGTTGTCTTCATAGGCACGAGGATACCATCAATTACACTGTAGTACTATTTGTGGGACACCGAAAAGATGCCCCAACCCCACAGACTCTTCAAACATCCTGCTACATGGCCCCAGATTCTACTATTTCAAATTATTCTGCATTAAGGGAAGTGGCTGCATATTCTGGGAAAAAGGCAAGATTAAAAACTGTAGGATGATGAAGACATTCAACAATGGAATAAACCAACATGTACTACACAACAACTATGCACCAGACGCTCACTTGATTCTACAGAAGAGGTTACTGTTCTCACCCCTGTGTTACAGATGTGGAAACAGGCACGGAGAGCTCACGAAGCCTGCCCACCATCTCACGGACTGCTGTGGGCATGACTGCATCCTCCCACATTAGTCTGACCCACACCCATGTGCTGACCCATGTGCAAGAGGAGGAGTTCGCCCCACACTCGGTTTTTAAAGAAAGCAAACAATCCATTACAATGATTGATACAACAAAAAATAGAAAAGCTGGAGATTTTTAGGTGGTATTTAAGCAATTGTTTCATTTTTCTAGAGAAGCCTAGATTTTCTTATTAGGGCAGAGGACTCAGAGGACTTAAGTACCGCAAGCATTCCTACTATAATCTTACTGTGATGAAATAGTCCACCAACAGAACCCCGGGTGACAGGACAAAGGGACAGCTCTCACATGGAGCCAAGCCAGAAAGTGGGGTGGCCATGAGAATTCCAACACAAAAATGAATTTGCAGACAGAAATATCAGAGGAGCTTAGACAATATGCTGCAAGTAATGGACACCTATACCATTATTGCTAACACTGTATTAAAAGGCCACTGTGGATCTAGAATGCAGAATACCTACTGAGACATACCATGTAAAACAGACCTCCCAAAGGATTCTCTAATGCCAGAAGTCAGTGCTGTCTGTTTTTTGTTTTGTTTTGTTTTGTTTTATCCCATAAAATGTATGGTTTTAAGAGAGAGATGAATTGATATCCCAGTTTCTCTGCTCCTAACAGAACACTGTAATGTGGTTAAGTACAAACCTTTCCAGAGCAACAAACATTCTGTATAAGGCAACCCTATGTGTCTCCCTGGAAGAAAGCTTTAAGGTTATAAAAGACAAATTCAAAGTAAAGCCTATGATCCCATCAACCTGAAGCCTCTTCCCAACAAGCTCAAGAAAGGATACATTGACAAATGACTCACCATAGCTTCCCATTGCTCATTTCTTTGCCTTCTATTTTCTTTAAATGGCACTTCAGCCTTAACAGTTACAAAGGTTTCAAGAGAGGGCTAACGCCACCTGAAAAAGACGAAAAATCCAATGTAATCATGGCTTGCAGAAGTTCAGTGCTGCAGAAGTTGGAACATGTCGGGGGTTGTGGTGTCTCTGCCTTAAGACCCAAGGCCTACCTTCCTGCCACTCTGCACTGGCTTACTTAGTGTTTCCCTCTATGAGACTGATATAAGCACTGGCTACCTGATTAGCTATCATTCTAAGGTAGCTTTGGGGACAGTATCTTGAAATGTTTTCTAGATACATATAAAAAAAAAAAAAACATAGTATCAGGCCATTGGAAGTAGAAATATAAACAGGGGCAAATTGGGCTGAGGCAGACAGTTGCATATGCAAACTATAATTAGATTCCCCAAACACTTGCCCCAGCAGAGTGGATGTCTCCCTTTGCTCACCCCAATTAGGCAGGAGGCGCTGCCTAGGGCCCGGCATAAGCTGCTCACTATTGTCTGGGTGTGGGGAGAAGCGAAAGCTCCTGCAGCCAACATGGTGCTTTGTTTTAACATGCGGAACCAGGCTTGCAGGCACTATTGATTATGCTTAGGAGAGAGGAAGCTAATGATATGTTGTGAGTCTATGTACTATATTTCATCCCCATTCAGGTTTTTAAACAGCATCCTCCTTCAAGAAGTCGACTCAAAAGGTTGCATGCTGAAAGTGAAACAGATGGTCCAGTTTTATATTTCTTTTCCTTTAGAATTTCTTATGCAGCTCAGGGACCTCGGTCTTCTGGGATCTCAAATTATATTTTAGCCCATTATACATATATCAGTTTTGATACTAAGATAGTATGTAAGAATGATTCAAAATCCACATGGCTGCAGCCTTTGCTGGCTTTAAGTGTGCCGTGTGCTGTTCATTTTAATTGAAAATATTCTAAAAGCAAGATTGATGTGTTTTCTATCCCCCTAAAATAGAAACAGGTTCCGGGCTCATAATTGAGCACTCAGGAGCCCCCTCTCCTTATTAACATGCCCTCTCTAATTTGTGCCTCTGTTTGCACAATGTAAATGGCCTTTCACAACCCTTCATTCATACAGTGGTCTCACTAACCCAAAGAAAATTAGTAGCAGGCAAAAGCCTATTTTTACTGACACAGAGACAAAAATGCTAATTACCTTAAAATATTCTCAAGTGTATATCTTTGGCATCCGTCCAGGCAAGGCTCAAAAGTTTTTTTTCCCCCATTATTTACTAGTTATAGGGCAAGTTGTTTTTGTTTTACATTCAAGCATATACCTAAGTAAATTTTTCTGTATAATTTTAATCTTTCAGTTTGGGTTCAGCATACTTGTGATAGGTGAGGTACTTGGTCTGCTTTTTACTTTCATATACTTGGGAGAATTGCCCATTTGTGATTATGTTTTTGCTATTTGTTAAGGCACTAAGGGACAATTTGCAGGAAAAAGGGCCTAGAAATATGGATCTATTTTACTTAAACATCTTCACAAGCATAAAGTATTACTGTTTCTTTAGAATCCTGTTTAATTTTTATGACAATTAAATTTGTTCAGGCTTTTATACTCTGAAGCACTCCTTTCTTTCGACTGTGGTTTGAAAACTGAAACCTGGGAGAAGGAGCAGGAACAAAGAGGGAAGGAAGCACAAAGGACTATGGTGGGGGACTAGGGATGATATGGTGGCAGGTGCCCTGTGATGGTGATACCTGATGGGGAGAATCCTAACGTTACCACAAGGAAAACAGTAAATTATTTAAAAAAAAAAAAGACAGAAACTTTTGATGGACAAAGGAAGTAAATAGAAATAAAATTCAACGTGACTTACTAAATTATGATACCAGGTATACTGATGATATTTATATAAAGAGGATGAATCTTTTACCATTCATGTAACAAATATTTGCAGAGGCTGTACTAGTTTTTGAGTATTTTGCTAGATATGCCACATGAAAATAATAAGAGAAAGGTAAAGGTACTCATCTTCTTGTGGGAGTTTAAATATCAAAATTGAAGAAAACATATTCACACTTGAAAAATAGTACAAAAGTTTAGCAAGAGTAGGAGACCACATAGTACAAGAGGTGATAGTCAGTGTGAGGTAAAGTGGTAATTCATGGTGAAAAAAACAAGAGGAGTCCAATAGTGATAAGGCAATTAACCCAGTTTTTAAAAATGGACAAAATATTTGAATAGATATTTCAGCAAAGGAAATATATCAATGACTAATAAGCAAGTATATGAAAAGATGGTCAACATCATTAGTCATCATGGAAATACAGATAACAACCACAACGAGACATCAACACACATCCAGGATGGCTATAACCAAAAAGCCAGACAATATCGAGTGTTGACAAGGAAGTGGAGAAGCTGGAGTCTCACACATTGCCGATGGAAACAATGCATCAAATGATATAATCACTCTGGATCTCAGATTGGCAGTTTTTAAAAGTTAAACTAACCACAATATTTAACAATTTGCTCCTAGGAATCTACCCAAGAGGGATGAAAATTTATGTCCAAGAAATGATAGGTAAGTGACTGTCCATAGCAGCATGTCTCATAATGGCCCCCAAATCAAAAACCCCAAATGTCCATGTGCTGATGAATGGATAAGCAGAATGTGGTATTCCTATACAAGGGAAAACTATTTAGCATTAAAAATGAACCAAGCACGGATTCATGTTACCACTTGGATGGCTCTCAAAAACAGAGGCTAAGCGAAATGCCAAAGCCTCCATTTGTCTGACTTCATTTATATGAAATGGAAAATTTATAGAGACTTACTGTCTCTATAAATGGATGCTTTCTTGGGGTTGGGGGGTGAGAAAAGAGATTAAGTGCAAATGAGCATAAGAGAACTTCTGAGGGTCAAGGAAACGTTCTAAAACTGGGTTCTAGTGATGGTAGCACAACTGTATACACTAAAAATCAACGAGCTGTGGACTTATAATGAGTGAGTTTTATGGTAAGTAAATTATACTCCAATAGGGTTGTTAATGAAAATATCAGCAAGTACCACATGTTTTCACTGGACTGGGGGGAAGTGGTCATGTGAACTTTTCATCTTTACTTCATACCTAAATGTAATTCAAACGTGTGTCCTTATCGACAGATGTGAATAGTTCTTCAGTTTGCAATTATGCCTTACAATTTTCAAATTTATTTTTTCTTCACACCAATCTTGTGAGGCAGGGTGAACACATATTTTGTCATCAAAAACAAGCACTTCCCTATTTCCTTTTAGCTTCATTCGAGGAAATTTTAAATTCTGCAGAGATGATATAATTTGAAAACCAAGGCCATCCTGGAAAATGTCATTGAATAAACTGAATGACACACATTATCATTGTCCAAGTACCCCAGGGACTTTTACAAAGGTAAGTATCCTCCATTTGCCAAACTAAACTAAATATCAGCCCCCTGATGAGTTGGAGACTCATAAGGGAAGTTGACAATAGACTTGGCTGGGCAATCTTACCTACAGACCCGCCTCCCAGGCTTGGCCGGGCAATCTCAGCTGGAGAACAGCCCCCTTGTTCAACTGCCTTTTTAAGCTTGCCGTGATTGTTCACTCTAAAGTGTTTGCATTTACTAATATTGAAATGCATGTAATATAATTGTATGTACGATTAGGCACACAGCAGCTAACATTACGGGAGCTAATATTCCCCAGCAGAAACAAAGCTGCCAAAAAAAAAAAAAAAAAAAAAAAAGGAAACTCATGTATTAATTTGGTTCATGGTGAATCCTTCTCTAGTTTTTCTCTCGAAAGCTCAACAGGAACTTAGATACTTCCAACTAGCCTGCAGCAGAGAATTTCTGTTTAAAGAAATGTGACTTATAGCGTCCAATTATGTAATTTGAAAATGGGCAGATGCGCAAATACACTAGTTTGATGCCAAGTGAACTTCCCTTATTCTGATAATACAAACGTGAGACAGGCTAAAATTGCAGTACTTCCTTTGCATCCTACCCAAGATTGAATGCTCTGGGTCATTGAATGCTCAGTCTCATAGAGGGAAACACTAAGTAAGCCAGTGCAGAGTGGCAGGAAGGTAGAAGTTCAGTCTCTGGGATAATTTCACTCCATTTCTTCTGCTCAAGAAGTCAGGTGTGAAAGGAGTTTCAAAGGTGGAATGTATTAGACTCATGGGCACCGAAGTGTCAGCCTTCCCATCTCAGCCTCACACTCGCTCATCTGTCTAGGGGTACACTTGTGTGACTTGTGCTTTCCACAGGAGGCACGTATGCTTACTGTTGTGTCTCCCTGTCTGACCTCCGGAATCCTTTTGCAGGTGATACTTAAGGATCCTTCCACGATCTTCTATCTAACACAAGCTGTGCTTCTTGACTTTGACAGAAACATGAACCTGACCTGAATAAGTCTAAATAAAGGTAGAGGTAGCCAACTGATTTCAGTCAATGGATAATTTTGATTATTTCCAAATTGAAAAAAAATTTCATATTAATTTACACCATGCAGGAATAGTGGGGAAAAAGCAGTGGTGTAATTGGAAAGGCATGTGACTTAGGGACAAGAGAACTGTATTCTGGTCTGGAATGTATCCCTGTGACCTTGGTGAAGTCCTTCAATTTCTAGGACCTCAGTGTTTGCAAATGTAAAAATATCAGGGTTTTTGGATGAAATAGTCTCTCATGTCCCAATCATAATTTACAATCATTTCCCGAGATACTACTATTATTCTACAAAATGAAAATATTTATCTAAATAATTCCGCCGAGGTTACAAGTATGTTGGCCTAGAGTGCCCTTTGCCTTTTCTGTACTGTTAGAACAAAAGAAACTCAGGATTTGAAATACATAGACGCAGAGTTCATTTGCACGGTCATAAAATGCCACAAAAGTTTCAGCTTGAGAGAACGAATGATAAAGACAGGAACTGGATATTAACTGAATGATTATTTCACACACACACACACACACACACAGAAGAGGTATGTGCCTGTTACTTACTTTATTTTTAATAAGTCTTACAATGTTACACTGGCTTTTGAATGTCTAAAGCCCTAGCGTTCCTTAAAGATGCTTTTGTCTCTTGAGAGCGTTAAATAACTAAAGTCTGTCCAACCTCCCCCGCCCAAGTCTTCAGTTTTTATCTTTATTTATTTGACTTCTATTTAATATCTTATTTGGAAAAGAGTCCTTGAATAAAAATAATCTAAAACCCACTGTACCACATAAAAGATGTTGCTTAAATGCTACACTTTTAAAAATGTTTCATTATTATATACAGCATTTAAAATAACATCTTACAAAGTTGTCCCAGCAAAACCAAAGGTTAGAAAATAATTTTCCATTTACAGTACTAGGGAAGACGATAAATGACATGCTATATTTAATTTTAGAGTCTCTGTATAAATCACCAAATACTTTAATAACTATACAAATATTAATATTTGATACACGGGATCTCCTGAGTTATGGCATAATCATAACTCTGGATTGATAGGATACTAAGTGGGAAAATCCTGTTTAGACAGTTGGAAAAGAAGGGAGCGTGTTTAATGAACACTCATCATGAAACTGATAGATATTTGGTGCAATTTAATCTTTGATGAAAAGAATTTTGAGGACAGGCATAATCAGTAACTCAGACTAATCCCTTCCCCTTCCCTTCAGTCCAGTTCACCTCCTCTATGACTAGCCCCTGGGGCTGCTAGTTAAAACACATTCTTTTTTGTATCATGATTAAGTAAGAGTTGGTTTCCGACTTTACTTTTTAAGGATATGTGTGAAAGTTGATCTGTAAGGGTGTAAATAAAAGACTCCAAAAATCTAAATTTGACCCAGAGAGTGTAAGAAAAGAGTAAAAAAAAAAAAAAAATCATCTTCTCTGGGTCATTTTTCTATAACTTTGAATTGATTTACCACTCAGACAGTTGCCTCTATGACTGAGAGACTTTGAAATACAAAAGAAATGTTTTCAGCCAAAGGACTTTCTCATTCTAGTCCCTAAAGGTCAGTATTTCCCCGATAATAATAGAGTAGTTATTTAGACTTCTCTGTATAATGTTTGGAGGGAGACTGAGATAAAGTGCTATAAAAATGACCATGCTCTGGGACTAAAGTAGAATGGGGTAGAACACCTATGTAGAACACCTACCAGTCAATGGCAGGGTGGGGAGAGGCCACTGGTGTCACCACCAAGATCACCGAGAAGGTCCCGAGGAGCCACAGTTCTTTCCTCAAAGCCCATGGAGCTGGCAGCATGGCCTCAGCCACCGGGGCCTGTGTATTGCTGGGGTTTCACTTCCAGTAGGTCTAAATGGCCGCTCAAAGTGGAGGGAGAAGGATTTCCTCTGTCTTTGATAGGTGGTTCCCTTTCTCTTTGTGTTTTCTTGCTCTAAGACAGCCTGTATTCTGGAAGTTTCACTATACCCCACGCAGGCATTAAGAAACCAATAAGTTCCTCCACAGGGCGCAATGCTTCCAGGGGCTCACCCCCACCTACTTGTCTGTTGTCACTGCAGGACAGCTGATTTGAGTGGACAGGCCTTCCAGAACAGGACTCTGGTGTGGACATGGGGACATCCCAAGGGTTTGGAATGAAGCCACCTTCATTCCACCTTCCCTCTGTTGCTCTGGGTTCCAGTCCTATTTTATCACCACATATGTCCCAGGTTTCCTGGGGAAACCATCAGCATCACCTAGAAAGTCCCACCAAATGCCACCTCAACAGCTTGGGCTCAGAAGCCCGTTAGTTGCTACAGTGGCAGAGATTAAAAGTAGACAGACAGGAGCACATAGAGGAACTGCTGACTATCCCTCCCAGTGTAACTGTAAAAAGCCCTGAGAAAGAAACAACTCTTCTGCTGGGAATGTAAAAACGTTTGCCAGCTAGGACCAAAAATATGATCACCCATGAAGATAAGAGAAATAGAGAGGAGTAAGAATGAACTACTTTCTTCAGGATCAGCTCAGACGGGTGTAGAATGTTTTGACTCTACTGCTTTAATTCTTAAGACTCTTTTCCAGTTGGTGGCAGGGTGCTGAAGCATTATTACTTCTCTTTGAATGCCAACTAGCTAGGCTTCTCCAGACCATGGGGGTGGAGAGAGGGGTGGAGGGAGTAAAGAGATATGCCAAGCCTGGAGCCCCAAATTCACATAACACCCCTTCTCAGTCCTGTGCAGCCGGGAGTTCTAGGCTGGGATGCTTGGGCTTTGGCGACAAGCCCTCCCAAGGCAAGTTGACCCTAAGCCGCTCTGGTGGCAAGCTGGCAGGATGGCTCCAGCGAGACTCTGGCATATGCCACAGAGGAGGAGAAAGTTCCACAAACAACCCCCCTTCTTCCCCAACCCTCCACCCAGGTCTCGTTACACCTGGTTTCTCAAGAGCAGATTGCTTAGCCAACCTTAATAATCCCCGAGGAACGCCGGGCAGAAGGCTGGCATCCAACTACCTTTGCCCTAATTTATTGAGGGCTTTAAAAGTAGAAAATAAAACTTTGAACTCAACTCATCTGAAGCTTTATGATTCAGGTGTGCTACTTGCCTTCAGGGGCACCAAAGATCAGTGAAGCTAAAGTGACAAAAAGAATTCGGAGAGGGGCAGAACAGAGAAGCAAGTCCAGACCCGACCCGGCTGGTTCTCATACCATATGAACTTGGCAGGAGGAGTAAAAGTACTGGCTCTGCCCTCGCCCTTCGCTGGTGGATCGGATTTCACCTGCTTACCCGCCTTTAATGCTCCCTCCTTGCCAGAGTCTAGAGTCTTCCAGAGTCTCAGAAAAGTGACCGTGTCAAGAAGGGAGCAGTGAAGAGAAAAGGAGAGGGAGAGAAAAGGAGAGAAAAGGCAGAAATGAGCATGGCTGGGGAAAAGGTTGGAGAGAAAACAATAGGTCAGGGGTGAAGTCACTTCTAGTTTGCAGAGTGCTGAGACTTGGCGCGCAGGCGCTGGCCTGCTGGCAGCTGGTCACAGTGCCTGTACTCACAACAGACCACTCAGCCTCTTCCTGATGGTATAGTAGACGAGAAAGGCAGACCCTTTCAGCTGCTGAGGACCTGAGAGTTGATTTTTGTGGAGTGCCTACCCCTGCGGCCTTGCCATCCTTGGTGAGGAATTTAATTCTGAGACCAAGATCCTAGTGTGATTCAACAGAAAGCAACTGAGTGACATTTCATATTCCATGTAGCCCTTCCAGCGAAAGGGAAAGCCAGGCTCCAAAGGAAGGAGCAATTTGGGACCCAGCCAAAGTGGGGGTGGCCTCCTCTCCCTCAGAGTGGGAAGTCCAGGCTTCCAGGCTTTTCCAGAGGCCCAACCTCTCTCTTCTCTCCAGGGAGGGCCTAGAGCAAGGGCAGCTTTCCCAGGATTTCTTCCTGCTGAACTGGCTACTTTGCAAGGCAAGGAGAGGCACCATTAGCAATTCCTACCAACGTGTGCTAGTTAGCAATTCCTACCAACCCTGGGGGGGTGGGGATGGGGGTGGGGTAGGGGAGTGTGTGTGTGTGGAGTGTGTGTGTGTGTGTGTGTGTGTGTGTTAGCAATTCCTACCAACCCTGTGCTGTGTGTGTGGTGGCCCTGGGCAGGGTTTATATCTGGAAGTCACCTACTTCCCTTGGAAGTCCTTGTTAGCAGTGCAGAGAGAGCCCAGGTAGGGAGCGCTGGGCCGAGCTTGCCCGATGGGGGTGTTTTCACCGGCTCATCTGAGTATCGCCTGGCCTCCACCCCCAAATCCCTGGCTAGGCGGGCACCAAAACCGGTTTCTCTCCTCCCCATTCCTCTGCCCGGCTGGGGAGGACCCAGGGCCTGCCCGCCCTTGCTGAGGAAGCCTCTAGAACACGGCCTTATGTGGTGAACCGGGACTGCGTCTCCCCAAGGGTGTGTGGTGTGTAAACATGATTGTTGTCAGTCAGGTTCGGGCTGCGAGTTGCTGGAACCCGGTGGAGTCTTTGGTGAGAGAAAAGTCTGCGTGGGGCCGGCCCACTGCTCTTACGGCTTTGTCAGTTTCTGGGGTCCGGAATCTTTCCCGTGTCACCCTGGAGAGGCTCCCAGTCCCCCTTTGGGACCCCCTTTGAGAGGCTCCCTGACACCGTCTTCTGACCCGGTAACCCGTGTTTTCCTACACACGGGCCCTGCTGAGCTCATGTGGTCAGCACATACACTTTACAGTTTTTAAAAAGAGGAGTTTTGAACCCCAATTATGGTGGATGGGCTATAGGAAGGGTGAGGATTTCGCCGCTAACTCTGCAGCCTTCAGGACAAGATGTGTGTCCCTTCACTACACCTACCCTTGATGGAGGGCGGGGGTTCTCGCCCCGGGGAGGCGAGGACCGGCCATCTGTGGAGAGGACGCCATCTTGCTCGGGTGACGTGGTTGACGTGCGCCACGCCAATGGCGCGCGCTGGACTCAGCGATGCCAAATGAAGCGCGACTTGAAGGCACACGAAGGGGAGATGTGGAAGGCCGACAAATTTTACTTCTTTTAAAGCTCATTTAAATCTATTTCACGTCGAGACTTGTTGAATCAGGAGCAAATGTGTCATTCTTCCTCCTGAGAGTCCTCCAGGATTGGGGTGATTGGCCAGACCCAGGCTGGAAGCAGAGCCTCTCGGGGGCTGCCCCGAACCACCCACAGATTTCCCCTATATGTAGAATATGCTGAAAGAATAAAGAATACTGCTTTGGACAGACTCAATGCCTGTCTTTGTCTCCCTCTTTTACACATGGATTTTTTTTTTAGGGGGGAAGGGAGTGTATATTTTATTCTCCCCTTCCCGTAGAGATTGTTTGGATTTCAAACAAAATTGAATAATAATTATACTAATAAAATATTCTCTTGAAAAATCATTTGTTTTTGCAGGAATTAAATTAAAAAATCATTTGGTTTGAAATCTTGTATTTGCCAAAAATAAAGATGTAAAAATAGTTTTAATCTGAAAGTCCATGATTGCCTTCAATTAATGACATTCTAGAGATACTTAATTTAAAATTTGTATCTTACTCTGTGAGTACTACCATCTGACCGTGAAACATTTCAGGCGCACACAACACAACTGCATGTTATATAACAGAGAATTCTATAAGTGAACTCTACTGCCCTGCTCCAGGTGTCACCGAAGCCCCACCAGCACATCAGGTGTCTCCTTCCTAAACTCATTTCCCTGCCTCAAATTCCAGAGATAACCTTTACCCTGCATTTGGGGTTTATCATTCCCAGGCATAAACTACTTGTGTTTGTACACATGAACAGTACATTTATAGCTTTGCGTGTTCTTAATCTATATAAACAGTATCACACTGAAACGACATTAATGTAATTCCTTTTAACTGCTGCCTAGATGTCCACTGTCTAGATGTCCATCTTCTGATGCTGGAAGGGGTGCTTTCTGCTTTGCCTCTGCGGTGATCAGTGCTGCTGTGAAGCTTCTTGTATAGGAGCCTGGATCTCATGGGAAGACTCATCCAGGAGCAGATCTGTCTCAGGCTCATAAACATACAGTTGGTGACTTTATTAGCCACTGCTTAATTGTTCTCCAGCGTCACCAGTTTTACATTTTCACTGTAGAAATAGATGCAAATATGGTGAGAAAACAAAAGATGAGAAAACAGAAAAAAATCATTTCCCATGTCTCCAGCCAAAGAAGTCCACTTTTATTTTTTAACATCGGCAGGTAATGTGCCCATGTTGTAACAAGGTTCCAGGCAGGAACGTCTCCCAAGGCAGCACCAATACCACGAAAGGCTCGAAACCTATGTGTATATGTTGGTGTATCAGCTTCCAGGTTTATTCTTCTGTGATGTGTATGTTTTTAAACACACATATGGTCATGTATACATATAAACACATTATATCATATATGTATATGTGTATCATAAATATGCATGTATGCATATAAATATATAGGTATGCATGCATGTATATTTATGTTTAAAGCTATACTTTTAAATTTAACATTACATAGCCAGCATTTCACCATGTCACTAAATATGCATTTAAAACATGCTTTAAATGACTGCAAATTAGACCATTACAGGAATAATTGTCTGGCTTATATAACTATTCACCTGTTAAACATTTAGATAGTCATTTCTTGCTCTCCAAGTGCTGTGATGGAGTACAAAGTGGTTGTAAACAAGACATTTTTTTATTCATTCTCCAACATGGTAGTTTGAGTGGCTTAATCAGTTCTGTTGTTGCTGGAGCAGCTAACATCTTTAAAGATAGAATAAAAACCTGTAATTTATTTATTTTTGATACCCTTCATGTTAATGTATTTATTTCTTTCCCTGATCGCATAGCATTTTTGTGTAGAAATATAACAAGTTAGCCATCCATTCCCCACTAAATGGGCATTTGGGTTGTCACCAGTCTTCCCTAGCTGTTGTAGGGCTGTTGGGCATGTCTGCTCCCTAGAGAGAGAGTTCCCCTTCTGCCCAGGTCTCCCAGAGCCAACCACCAACAGCCAGGAGTGCACTGGATGAGTTGCTTCACTTCTCTGAGAAGGCTCAACTTACATCATCTGTGCAATGGAGCCAACAGAGGTAATAACTTACATTTATTGACAGCAGATGACAAAATCACCACTGTTTATGGACTTTATATGGGCGACCTCGTTTATGACCTCCCCAATGTCTCTGTCAAGTATATACCCCCACTACACCCATCTCACAGATAATTAAATGGTGGCAGAGAGAACTGAAATAAATTGTGCAGATTATACTCAATAACTGGCAGAACCATGACTTAAAATTGACAAGCTCTGTCCCAGGAGCCTGACCCCAGCTTTTTCTCATACTTGCCTTTTCTCTCTTGCTTTCTTGATGTCTTTTTTTTTTTTTTCTTTTCTGAATCATATCTGTGCATGCACGAGCTGGGGTGTAGGGTACACTTGCCAACTTTACTAAATATAAATTATTTTTCAAAATCTTTACATATTTGGACACCACCTCCCTTGTACCAATTGTATGAATTTCTATAGTTTTATATCCTCATCAACACTTGGCATTGTCAGACTACAAATTTTTGCTAATCTGATGGGGTGTGAAATGGTATCTCATTGTGGTTTAAATTTGCATTTTCCTCATTACTTATGAAGTCGAACTTATGGGACCATTCTTTTTTTTTTTCCTCTTATGTGAAATGCCTGCTCATTTCTTTTACCCACTTAAAAAATTGGCTTGTTTGTCTTAAAAGCTTTTCTTTTTAAGATGGAAACCAGCATGACAAATTCTTACTGTAACCTCTAGTTACTCAATGGCTGGGCATCACAAATAAATGGCCCATGGAGAATGAAGCTGAAAATAGAGGAATGCTTTCCTAAAAGTGATTACTTCGAAATTTGGATTTCAAAGGTAGAAATGAAGCATACAGTTTCAGGCTGAAGAGCAAAATATACTGATACTTATAAAATTTCCCAAGATAAGTAACGGAAATAGCAGCAATGCTATATTTAAGTAAAAGTCGAGTTGAATTCCGTGTCCTATTTCCCACCTGTCCTATTTCCAGGCATTGAAATCTAAGTTACAAGGATGGCTATAGGAATGAGCTCCAAGTACTTCTTCTGCCTTTGTATCTGTCCTCCAGACAGTGAACGGACTTCAGTCATTAGTGCTTCAAGCCACTCCATTTTCACCAGTCCTAAGCACGGAAAATCAATAGTGGGATCATTTAATAATGCTCCAAAGACTTGAAAAGAGCCTGTTAAGAGAGGTTTAAACCAAAATAAAGGAACTTAAGAGTAAGGTGTTCCTGTGCTGTTGTTATTTTCCTTTGACTTAAAGAGAACCATTTGTAGCTATGTACCCCTGTTGCGAGAATGGAATTCAACCTCAGCTGTTAATACAGAGTTTTCAGATAGAGCAAAAGATGTTAACTGGCTTATTCATGCAGCTGGATTAAAAAATTGGAAAAGAAAATAAAGCATGATTAATCACTTTTCAGCATTCAAATGTTAAGATTTGTTCTTTAAAGTATGAATCACCTCACAGTGATTTATAGCATTTTCTGTTTCTTATCTAAATGACTATGGAAAATGAAACTATACTTATAGATGGGCTAAAATGTACTACTTACTACACTGTATCTCATTATCTTCAAGTCTTGGATGCTATTTCTAAGATGGTAAATGCAAGATTTGGAAATAGAAGTTCCATTGCTCTTGGGCTCATGCATATAATAAATTACCTTAAAAAAAAGATTTTGTATTGTACCTTGATTGAGAGGGGCTATCATTTCATCAATATTAATAAAATTATATATTTAAATGTGTGCATTTTATCATATGTAAATTATACCTCAATTTAAAAAAAGAGAACTGGGGGCAAATGACATTTGGGAAACACCCTTTCAGCTGGGGTGGCAGAAATCACACTGTTTGGTGGTCTTTAAAGTGTTCAGGGGAAACCTGATGGAGTCAGCAAAGGGTCCCCAGGACTGGCTCAGGATGTCATGTGGGATGGTCTTTAAGAAAATAAAACGGTTCTAAATATTTTTATACTCACCGCTATCAAATGTTTGAAAATCTGTACAGTCACATAATCCTTCTTTCACTCTGTTATCAAATATTCTTTCTGGAATTGAATCCATTTTCTCTTCCAGTACAAATAAATAATAAATATAAATAAATCTCTGCAGTTAGAATGCTAATACCAATACCAGTAACTGAAGACAAATTGTTATCAAATCATGCCTCATGGGCCTTATTTCCTACTTAGTCACACTCTATCTGCTCCTATGTAGTTTTTAATTTGTTTGGTTTGTGTATATTCATCATTTTTCTTTCTTCCTTCTTTTTTGTTTCACAATATTAAAAAAAAAAATGAAGTTATGTTGAAGCCCATTCATACCTGTTTTCAATTCTAATTTCCTCCCTTCCCCTCTAGAGGTAGCCATTATTCTGACTTGGTGACTTTTCTATGCTGCTTTTAATTGCTTGTTCATATTGATTCATATTTAAAGCACAAATTTATGCTCATATGAAGTCTGTATGGATCACTCAACATTATGTTTTTAGATGTTCTATTGATAATTTATTTAGGTTTTTACTTAGAATTTTTAATTTTTTTAATCCCTCATGTCCTCCCTTTTACTGGATTGTCAATATCTCAAGTTCTTTTTTTTTTTCCCCTAATTTCCTTCTTTTGCCCTCTTTTGGTTTGAAAATTATGTTCCTATTTGTTTGTTATCTATTCTTAGGAATTCTTAACAGGACATAAAGTTAATATCTCTCGTCTCCTCTCAACTAATACAGGATATATGACCCATTAATGGTTTACTTTTTAATTGGTATAAACTTTGCAGTGTCCCATGTGCTTGCTAACTGGTATTTTAGTGTAACCTTACTTTAAAAACCCTCTCAAATTAGTCATCAGCA